AAAGCGGGAGGGTTATCTGGGCCTGGGGGGAGGGGCGCAGGCGAGGGGGAGGGGAGACCCCGCAGAGCCCCTGGCAGTGGGGTGGGGGGGGATCAGGTGGAGCTGCCAAAAAAGCCAGTGCAGTCTTGGGCTGCATCAACCGAGGGGCAACATCAAGAGAAAATGAGAAATGATAATGTTGGTTTATCCTGTACTAGTGAGGCCACCCTTGGAATGCCGGGTCCACGTCTGGTCTCCACGACTCAAAAAAGATGCTGGGATTCCAGAAAGAGTCAGAGAGGAGCAATAAAGGTGATACAGGAAGGTTAAACGGTGTGAGAAACCACGGAGAGAGTGAGAGAGCGAAGTATGCCCAGGCTATCACTCAGAAGAATTTGGTGTGTGTGTGTTTGTATGTTTGTGTGTTTGTGTGTGTATGTGTCATAATAACTGCCTGTCTTTACTTGAGGGGCTTTCATAGAGAAGAGTGGAGGGACTTCCTCTCCAAAGCCCCAAAGAGGGCAGGAGAAGAAATAAGGGGTGGGGGCTTGTTAAAGAGGGAACCGACCTAGAAGGAGAAATTTTCTAACAGTGAGAACAATTAATCAGTGGGATAATTTTCATCCTGGAATTGTGAGCGCTCCATCGCTGGAAGTTTTCAAAAACAAGACTGGAGAACTGTTAGACTGGGATGGTATTAAATTTCCTGCCTGGATCTGAGGGTTGGACTAGAAGACCTCTGAGGTCCTCTCTAGTCCTATGATTCTGTGTTTTAAGTTATGACATCCCAAATGATCTTCGCTCTGGAGAAAAACGCTCAAAGGCTCTCGTGGCCTCTTCAAGGGAAAGATTTGTCTTTCTAGGGGAAAATGTCAGAGGTGTTTTCTTCTCTGGGGAAGCCACAAATCTTTAGGATGCTTCAAAGTCTTTGGTTTCCCCACAATAAACTAAGATGGCTGCTCTCTCCCTTGGCACTTCTTTTGGGGAATCCTGTGTTGTTATCCATATTCACAGCAGTGAGAATGGCCAGATTAAGTGCTTCATTCAAATAAAAGAATACATCCGACTTTATTTCTGCTTGGAAACTGCTTCTGGATTTTGTGGTTGAGGTAGAAAAATATGATACATTGACTTTGGATTTTGTTGATTAGAAAAAGTTTCTACTCATAGAAATGGCCAGTACATATTAAAAAACCCAAAAGTAAAAAAGTTGAGGCTGTAATATTTTCATTCAACTTTGTTGAAGAGAACCCACAATTTTATTAACCGAGAGAGAGAAGCAACCTAGAACTAAGGAGAAACTTCCTGACAGTGAGAACAATTAACCAGTGGAACAACCTGCCTCCAGAAGTGGTGAATGCTCCAATACTGGAAGTTTTTAAGAAGAAACTGGACAGCCATTTGTCCGAAATGCTATAGGATTTCCTGTCTGAGCAGGAGGCTGGACTAGATGACCTCCGAGGTCCCTTCCAACTTTATCATTATTATTATTATTAACTGGCATTATTTTCATAGCCTGGAAGGGAATGTTATCTCCCGCTCCACATTTATCTTTTCAGCTAAGAAGGCACCACGTGCTTCCATTTTCCTTCCACTTTCCAAAGGCCACCGCTGATTAATAAGGGATGTAGTTGATTTCAAGGTTATATTTTTCTTTTTTCTGAATTTTCACTTTGGAAGCCATGTAAACAGAGAACGACGGGAACGTGACAGGACTCAACATGCTGGATGGCCTTCTCCTTCCTGAAGCAGATGAGCTGCTGAAGCTGCACAATGTTTTCACGAACCGCTGACCACAGGCTGCAAATGCATGTGCAACTTTGTGATGCTCCTGGAGGCACTGAGGGACTGGAGATTTGTCAATTTCAGATGGGGGGCGGGGGAAGAACCATCTGCCATGTTGAGTTGGATCCCATTCCCGATTATCCATCTGCCATTTTAAGTAGACTCTAGGGCAGGGCTTTTCAACCAATGGTACGGGTACCACCCGTGGTACATTGGCACCTGGCAGGTGGTATGCGCCATCCTAGAAAAGTGATAGCGGGGGAGGGGAATGAGCTGAACCGGTGGCAGCACCACACAAGCCTGAGCGAGAGATGGCTGGAGCTGCAGGGCTGTCAGGGCTCAGCGGAAGCTGGAATGTTGCAGCATCTCCAGGGTTTAGTGATTTACATTCAGATACTTGGCAACTGATTCATATTTATGACGGTCACAGTGTCCCAGGGTCATGTGAAGTGACCAAAACCTGCTGCAACCACCCAGCAGATGGAGGGAATAAAAA